AGGCATATTGAAGTGGGGAGAGCATGCTGCCTTACTTCTCCTTTCTAGACACTTCCAGAATGTTCTGACAGTTATCCACTTACACATTTTATGAGGCTGAAATTAACATTATTTCCTTATTAGTTTCCATTGTCTACCGATATTTTTTGTTGTATAAATTTATAACAGTTAATTATGTTTATAACCGGTAATTAATCTTTTTATGCGCACATTTATAACAGTGTATGCAGTTGGGCAAAAACTGCCTTTTATAAAATAAAGAACATCCTATGCAATAAATCACCCTCCATGCAGGAAAGGAAAAGAATTATGGTATGCTTCATGACACCAGATTTAACATATGACTGTAAATCCTGGAAAGTTGGCAAACAAGCTAAAAATATATTAAAACCTCAGAGATGTTATTTTACAAAAGAAGAGTAAAATTCCTTGGACAGCTAAATTTAGTTGCTCCGAGGGAATCTAAGACTCAAAATACACTGGGGGAGGGATCACGCTGCATGGGCAACATGTGATCTCTATAGAACTGCTTAGGCTTTGTGCTCGGGAGATAAGGAACTTAATCCCTCACCTTAATTGACACGTGGCCCTGCCTCCCTGTAGTCTTTTTCTTCTTCTGCCTTTCTTGCCCCCACTGGAGCATAGGCCCTCAACCAACTCACGCCAAGTCGTTCTATCATTCGCTATCACATGCAGCTCTTTTCATGTCCTCCCCATCTTTCTAACTTCATTCTCCAGCACTCTTCTCTGTGGTCTTTTTGGCCTTCCTTTATTCATATGCCTCTGTGGGTTCCAATGCAAAGACATTCTAATTATGCTGTTCTTCAGTTTTCTTAGTGTGTTTTATTTCCAACGCCAGCATGTTTTCCTCTCCTCTTGGTCCACTAGAGCTTGCTTAGCTCTCTCCCAGAGCTTACTGTGGTTTTAAACCTGGGAGGAAAAAAAAAGGGGAGGGGATGCAAGAAAGTTTTGATGCGGCCTCAAGCAATTATAAGGTTCAGTGCATTTGTGCTTGAAATAATATGTTATACTAACATTTTGTCCAGTTAATTATAAATAAAATATTTTTGAAAACTATTTATAAAACCAGTTTGTGCATCTACTGTGAAAAATGGCAGATTTCATCAATACAAAACAGTATCAGCCATCACATTGACATTGGACACCAAATTACCACTTGTTGGTGATTGTTTCTTTTATTTTAGTTTGACACTTTGATTTTGTTTTTCTCCAAGTTCTTGTAAATAATGCTCAGAATTTTTTTTTTTGTCCTGGTCTTTTTAATAATCACATTTGTAAATAAAAAAAAGTGTGTGTGTGGGGGAGGGGGGGGGTCGTTCCTTGTCATATATTCAAGCAGGTGCCACCTGGTGCTGCAGCACATTGTAACTGTCATTGACAAGACAAAAAGGTGTTAACAACAAGACCTAAAGACAACTTATCATATGGTGACCATAGTCCAGTTTTCACCTGGACAGTCCCATTGTTATTTTCAGTGTGTCCATATCGTCCGATCAGTAGTTTGAAAAAAAAAAAAAAAAACATTGTCCTGTTTTATGCAAATCTAGAAATTAGCTCAAGAAAAGAACACACACTTAAAAGTTGGATCTGTAGACCTTATTAGACTTCATAGTTTTAAGCTACTTTAAATGACTGAAATGTGTTTATGGGAATTTTAATTGCATGTTTTTTCAGTGCAATTAAAGTGCATATTATTTCATTGACATTAGTGATTAGTGGTTTGAAAGAATTATCACCACAGCACTCACACACAGATCCATAGGTGTTCCAATCTCCTCCTCAAAAGCTCCACAAGTGTAAAACAACTGATGATGCCTGTTCTGTGTTGGTTAATGAAATGTCTTGTCCCCTTAGTGAAATGTTCATCTCTTGCAACTCCATGCTGCACCTCTATGTTCAACAGTCGAGACAGGGATATGGAGTCATGTCCTTTGGTGTGCTCCTCGGTACTGTAAGTGCAGCGCGTGGCATTGATAACATCACTTCTGTCCAGTACTGGGCCAGCCATAGCAACTGTAGTGTCCGCAAGATAGTCTGCATGCTCGTTCCCTTAAACACCTGTATGACCTGGCAGGAAGATGGTTAGTTCAGATATTCATGAAGTGCTTAGTGTTTCAATCCATTCTTATCTGATAAAGCCAGCTTGGATTTTTTTAAGCATATTCATAGAGTCACTAAGAATGCATGCGTGTGTGAACTTTTGAGTACCAAACCATGCTAAAGCCATTGTTACAGCCATAGTTTCCATTGTAAGGCTGCTAGTTGTAACAGCAAAGGTGCCATTTATCTCCTTGATGGTTTTCCCCCTTGAGTTTACTGTGAAGGCCCATGCGCTTCGCTTGCCTCTAATTACTTACCCATCTGTGTACACTATAGCATCACCTTCATCTGTGTTTTCGTCAATCAGTGTTCTGACTAAAGTGTCAACAATTCCAGGAATTTGTTCTCTACAGCTTCCATCAAGTGTGATATGGACTGTAAAATTATTGTTTGGAGAGGGAGGCTTAATTATCTATTCATTTCCAAAAATAATGTCAGTAAGGCGGCAAACATGTTCAATGGCATCCTCAGCCTGACCCATCCAGGATTTGCCTCGTTTTAGTCTACTCTTTTTTGCTTGAATAATTCCTCATAAAGTGGGTGTCGATGGTCTGACTTCACTTTGGGAAAAGCAACAGCCCTGGACAGCTTGATTCTGTTTTCCATTGTGGGGGAATCCAAGAGGTATCGTATGGATTTACAAGTGTCTCTAGTGCATCCAAGAATAATACGCATTGCCTCATTTTCAATTTTTTCCAGTCTGTTCATCTGTGTGGTGCTGAGGGTCATGATTGCCAAAGCACATTCAGTGATGGAGAGAACTAATGCACGATACAACATTACAAGTAATTTCATTCATTCATTTCATTGACATTGTTGGTGATAATGGATCATGTTTTAATACCATTGTTAATCAAGCAACCCTTTTACCCCATGACCTAGAAGAAAAAAGTGGGAGGGTGGGGGAGGGGGGGGGGGGAATGGCTGGGGGTTGGTTAAAACTGACTTGCTTGGGATGTTCTGTTTTCAGCTCAAAATATTAGAAGGATGTTCCATTTTTAGCCCAAGATATTATGATCACCTTAGCTTATCACACACATCAGAAAGTGGCAGGCATAATTTGTCTTGGCCACAGAATGAGAAGAGAGAATTTTGAACATGTTGAGCTGGACATTTTTGTGGAAAGAGAGGAAGATGAAGTCCAGTGATAGAAGATTCTTGACAATATTTTGTCATGGCATGGCCCATGTCAGCCCATGAACTGCTACATGCTGTTGGAGATTGCAAGTTGTAGATAAACATGATCGCCCATGCCACTTGGGTTGATAATGATTGTAGTGTGCACCCGTGTTGCTTAAATGTTAGTGAAAATGGTTCACTGTGATGTTTTCCTAATGTTTACCAGGGTTGGATTCCCAGGCTTGGTGGTAAGAAAAAGACAGTTCTCATTGCTTTCAACAAATGTAAGAAAGTCACACTGTGAAAGAGTTTGATGCCTCGCTATGTTAATATTCCCATAGTTAGCAGTGGAAATATTGCAGCCAGCCTCCATTGTGGACACAGATTGAAACAATATTTTTTTTACATAATGATTGTTTTATTATTTTTTACTTAGTGATTTGTTTGCAGTAATGTTATTGACGTGGCGAGAAGACGTTAGCAAGTGACAGCTGTGATTTCACATTATTGATTTGAACAGATGGTCTTTTATTACTGATGTGCCCTATTATATTGATTTTTGAGATCTGTGAAAATACCTTGTATGATTTTAATTATGTAATCCAGAAAGCAGTCAAAACTGCAGTGTGAAGTAGATTTGCTTTCTAGTTTGTCAGATATGAGTTTTTGAAACTGCAGTGTGGAATAGATATAGTTTGACAGATATCATTTATGAAAGTACAGTATTAAGTAAATATAGTTTTTAAGATGTCATTTATGAAACTACAGTATTAAGTAGATAAAGTTTTTCAGATGTCATTTATGAAACTACAGTATTTAGTAGATATAGTTTTTCAGATGTTATTTATGAAACTACAGTATTTAGTAGATATAGTTTTTAAGATGTCATTTATGAAACTACAGTATTAAGTAAATATAGTTTTTATGATGTCATTTATGAAACTACAGTATTAAGTAGATATAGTTTTTCAGATGTCATTTATGAAACTAGAGTATTTAGTAGATATAGTTTTTAAGATGTCATTTATGAAACTACAGTATTTAGTAGATATAGTTTTTCAGATGTCATTTATGTAACTGTAGTGTGAAGTAGATATGGTTTGTCAGATATCATTTATCAAACTGCAGTGTGAAGTAGATATAGTTTGTCAATTATCATTTATGAAACTACAGTGTGAAGTAGATATGCTTTCTAGTTTGTCACGTATCATATATGAAACTACAGTGTGAAGTAGATATAATTTGTCAAATATCATTTATGAAACTGCAGTGTAAAGTAGGTATGCTTTCTAGTTTGTCCCATATCATTTGTGAAACTACAGTGTGAAGTAGGTGTAGTTTGCGGAATGTCACTATTATTGCAGTCCATCAGAAAGACTTCAGTAAGATGAGTTTCCTGCCCCCCACACATATACTTTATATTTTCCGGTGTGTCCCATAAGTTTCTCTACTAATGAAAAATGAACGTATCATCAGTGCCATTACAGGCATAACTCCAAGTGTACTTGTTCTTTGTTAGCGAAATGTTTTTTTAAAAACCGTGGTCATGTAGAGCCTATTGTGTATGTAGAAGTGGTTTATTTTTCTTATGTATGGAAACTTATGGGATTCCCACCATTTACATGCAAAGACATTCTCTTAATATTTTTATATTTTTATTACAGTGGAAATGAATCAAAGAGCTGCAAACTGAGCTCCACAGCACAGGATACAGCATAACCCAAAGTCTTTCTCATGTGATTCATTTACTGACAGCATCAATGGCAGAGACCGGGACCGTATCACAGCCGGTGCAGTCCAGTCACTCTGTCCCTGCAGCAGACATGGTTTTTGCTCCATTACGTGGTAACAGATCACAGCTGCTCAGGATCTCCATGTTTTGCACACGCCGTCTCTACATCCACCTGGCCATAATTGTTATGGTAGTGTTCATCCTGGCCATTATCAGGCTGATGACCCAGGTCCGAGTCACTTTTGTCCATTTCCACATGAACAGTGATGCTGATGTTGAACTCGTCAATTTGCCTTTGTCATTCTCTTCGGTGAGAGGTGCCTATTGCCTGGATGGCTCACCTCCAGCTTATTATTACAGGTTTAGTAAGTAATGAAGCTTGTGTGATCTTTTTTGCTTTAAGAAGGTTCTGTGAAGTGTCTGGGGAGGAAGCATACAGAGGAAGGAAAGAGGTGACGTATTTCAAATAATCATATAACTGCAACTCTAACTTTGTGGTAAAAAGGTCACCCTAAAATTGCTTAGTTTCTGCGCCCCCCTTCCCCCCCACCACAACCAAAAGCCACTTAGAATGTCCTTTACTGTCCCTTGTGGGGGATGGGGAGGGGGCAAAACTAATAGTATACACATGCATTAATGCATAAGGTAGCTATCAGAAGTACCAGAACAAACAGTTTGGCACTAGACATACAGTTAATTGTCGATGGAAGCAGCAGTTACAACAGATCAGTTGTCATGCACGTAATTAATTCATAAGGCATCGCCTGTTCTCTGACAGGCCACTTGGCATTTTCTGAATTTGCAAGTCACAATACAAACCATGTTGGGCACAGCTGAAAAGCATTCCAAATGAAATCTGTAGCTCATAGTCTCACACCATGCACTGAAATAAGTAGCTGGACAACAGAACTATATCCTGTTAGTCTACATTTGGAAGAAAATACCTGCCTATACACCATTTTGATTAGAAATAACCATTAACTATAACACTGTGAGTCACAAGCAACACATCATCCACTGTAACACTTTCAGCAACATAGTATTCTCTATAACACTGCAAGCAACATATCATTCACTATAATACTTTCAGCAACAAACAGCACAGCATTCACTGTAACACTTTCATTCACAAACATCACATCATTCACTATAACACTTTCAGCCACATTTAACGCATCATTCACTATAACTTTTTTTTTAGTCACAATAACAAATCATTCACTATAACACTTTCAGCCACATTTAACGCATCATTCACTATAACTTTTTTTAGTCACAATAACAAATCATTCACTATAACACTTTGGGCCACAAATGACACATCTTTCTCTTTAAAACTTTCAGCCATAAATGACACATCTTTCTCTCTAAAACTTTCAGCCACAAACGATACATCTTTCTCTATAAAACTTTCAGCCACAAACGACACACCTTTCTCTATAAAACTTTCAGCCACAAACGACACATCTTTCTCTATAAAACTTTCAGCCACAAACAACACAACATTTACTTTACTTCAAATGAAAAACTTAAGAATGTCATAGAAATTACAGTAACCATCCCATTGTCTTTTAACCTGTCAGTATTTTTATTAAGAATGTCAAAACCTTTAAGCTTTTGATGGCCACCGCACTTTTGGCATGCACCAAAGAGGAATAGCATTCATTTATCTGTTTTTGTGATAACTGAAGGGATGAAACCTATAGGAATTCATTAGTGGATGAAGGTCTAGAATTGTGATGCATGTCTGTCTGTCCAATGAGTGCAAAGATTTTTTTTTATATGACCTTTAAAGACTTTTTCTTTAGCATGTGCCTTGAAAAGAGTGGTTGGCATGTTGGGCTGTAGTTTACAGCTGGACTGCGATATTTGAGCCTCTTGACCCAACACATCTGCTTTCAGCAAACCTGCAGTTAGCCACCCTTTACAACATACTTGTTACAGGGTCAGTGGGTCTATTCTTTTGTTTCCCTAACATGGGGCCTTGGACTTATGAACCTGAAACTCAAAGGAAAATCAGAAACAGATTGGAAAACCAACCAACACTGGTTATAACTACGAAAAAGATTTTCTGAAACACTTGAACAGAACAGACCAAGTAACAGTTTTTCGTTTACGCACTGGACACAGCAGACTCAATAAACACTCATATAAATTAGGTATAAGCCAAACAGCTCTCTGCCAGTGCCTTTGTGCTGAACAGGCTCCAGAACATGTCCTGCAAGACTTTCCTCTCCTGGCAGAGCTGCGGAGCAAAATATGGCAACACTCAGTAGAACTGACAACTAAGCTTTGGGGAAACCTAAGAGACCTTGAAAAGACATCCCAGTTTATGACCCCCAGTGGATTATGCGCAATGACCAGAGATCGCTGAAGAAGAAACTCAAAGAATTGTTTAAAACTCTTTCTGTTCAAAACAGCAAACCATTGTATATGTACAGCTATTACTTTTATAACTCCATAGAGGCATGGTGTGTTATTGTTTAGTTTAAATTTTGACTGAGTATATCACAGAAACCTGGCCAGATATTGTAACATGTAGCACTCACTGTAAATGCTGCCTCTTTGGAACTTATAGACCTGTCCTCTTTTATTGTGGGTACAAAGGCCATCTCTATCAGAATCGTCTGATACTGAAAGTGTTAAAGTCGTGACATAATGAGTTAAACAGAGTTAAACACTGATGCACATAGTGATGTTCACAGGTCCAGCTGTCAATTTTTGGATTGTATATCTTCCGAGTGGGGCCTGGTGTGTGTCAGAAGAAGACTGCTACGAAAGGTGAGGAAAAACTGGCCACTATGTACATAGTAGCCTTTGTGTTGTTTAGCTCTTTGTCTGCCCATCTGCATATGTCTGTGTATGTATGAAGGGGGGAAGGGTTAGAGAGAGAGAGAGAGGGAGATTACCAAATCACTCAGTGTAATCCCAGCCAGTTATTATGTGCTGCACTAAATTATGGTGTGGTTACATCCTAATATCTGTTGCTGGATCTTTGGAGTGTATGCTTTTGTGTGCTGCTATTTGCAGGTGGTGATTGGTTAACACCCAGAGCAGTGAAGTTAAATCATTTCTACTTTATTTTGCATAAGCCCTTAAAAGTAAAGTGAAAAACATCAGGCATATGGAAAGAGCACCCATATTTTTACAGACCACTAAGTGGGTAATATGGTCAGCATTATGCCGGCTGTCTTTACTTCCCCAGGACATCCATCCTGGTACTCATTTAAGGCTGAGTCGACCTGTGACGCCCCATACCATGATAAAAATCCATGCAGCCAGCAGTGAATTACGAGTCGGGCTCGCAACGCCTAGGCCACGGACGCCGCCAAGCCCTTAAAAGGGCAGCACACACATTGTGTTGTAGGTTATAGCTAGAACCTTTCAGCCCAACAGGTTTGATTTCAGCTAACCCATAATTAGTTATATTTTATGATGTGCTTCGGGGGCAGTAAGTCTTTTTTTTTTCCTTCCCTTCAAAATAGGGCCCCCATGGGACCCACCCTAAGACTTTCTAATTTAAAATGAATCTCTGCAGTATCATGTGGCTCTAGTCATTGTAGACAAAAGAACCAAAGCCTCTATCACACTTGACACAAAACAGTTTTAAAAATAGAAAGTGAAGAAGAAGAAATAGTAGAGGAGACTATGAGGCAGACCACAAGGACAGTGGAGAGATAATATACACACATATGACCGTGTGTGGCATTCTGGGCTCTGGCAAATAATGAGGAGTTTCAACTTTGATTAAAAAATTATAGACACAATTAAAGTACTTTGTTAATATTCAACTAGTGCAGTACGCATTCAAAAGACAGGCAAATTTTTCAAAACCAGTGTATGAGTGAGACAGGGTTGCATACTATTTTCTGTCCTTTTCAGTTTGCATTTGGAACACATCATGAGAGAAACACCAGAAAATCATGAGACATCTATATAATATAAACTTGTGGAAGACCAATGTGTAATTTATGTTTTGCGGATGACATTGATCTGAAATAAAACTCCAAGAACTTACTACAAAATTAGAGACAGTCTGTGGTAAATATGACATGGAATTTAATGCCAAGAAAAGCAAGATTCTTGTAAATAGCCACAATAATCAAGTACCTACCAACATTCTGATAAAAGGAGAAGAAGCTAGAGGAAGTTGAAACCTTTAAATACCTCAACTCCTGCAAATGTAACAGCGGCAACTGCGATATGTGCAGAAATTAACCTCATGGTTCTGAATGCTGATGAACAAATAAGAAGAAGGTGAATAGGCCAGATTTCTGATAAATATATTTTTATTGTCTGCAGAAGTTTGACAAAACTTGGCTCCAGTCATGAAGCTCCAAATGTGTTATACTATAATGGAATTCTGTCCAAAGACTGTAAGAAAAACCCAGATTTTTGCCTGTGGAATGTTTTAGTTCTTCTTTACTGTGATGGCGGTTCATTTCTGGGTAAGTTGAAGTGATATTTTGTTTGTTAGCTGGTCATTTTTGTTTTTAAATTGAGATGACTAAATTTTAGAGTTGTTTTCTAATTTAAAATAAATGTTTCCTTTTACGAATTTTACTTTGGAAGTTGAAGTGAATTTAACCGTGTATTGTTGGTTGGAATTTTTCTTCTGTAAAGGAAAATACAACTTTTTAATTATTTAAGTTCATTTTTGTTTGTTATGGCATGCTATCACTGTTGATTTCACTGTACACTGAAAATTCCTTAGAATGTTTGTTTTTTCTTAGGTTGAAATGAATTATTTAAGTTAAATCACAGTTTCTGTTGTTATTGCTAGAGAAATGTTTGTATTGTTAGAGTTAATTTTTATTTGTATTGCTAGAGCACATTTTAGTTTGTTTAGTTTATTTGTGTTGTTGGGACACATTTTTATTTTTAAGCTGAATTTTTGTTTGTATTGTTAGAGCGCGCGTGCGTCTGTGTGTGAGAAAGAGAGAATTTGTATGTCTTGTTGGAGACAATTTTTGTTTGTAAGTTGAACTGAATTTTTGTTTGTTAGCAGAAATAACACATCATTCACTATAACTTTTTTTTAAAGCCACAAACAACAAATCATTCACTGTAACACTTTCAGCCAGAAATTCTTTATTTGAACTCTTCAGCCCCAAAAGTTTCCTTAGTTGTCGTTCACTGGGAACAAACACCACAATTAAAAAACACGGTTGTTAACTTTAAAGCGGAACCAAATACACACATAAAAGCCATGGTTGTTCAGGAGCTAGCTTGTTTGATTGCTGGCAGGTGACCTTAGTTCACAATCCTTATTTCGGTTGATTGTTAGGGGTCTTTGGTAAGGTGTTCAAGCTGTTTGCCATGTACTGTGAAGGTCATGGGTTTATTTTACAGACATGCTCAATTGGTTCGCGAGTGTAATTTTTACAGAGATCCATAGGAATCGTTGCTGGGTCTGTGGAGTATGTGCTTTGTTTGTTTATGGACTTTAGTCTTGTTTTAGAAATGAGTTTTGCTTGCACAATATTTTCTTTGTCTCCTCCTCTTTCTTCTTCTTCTTGCCGCTGCTGCTGCTTCTTTCTCTTCTACTTAACTCTTTGAGTTCCATAGGGTTTAGCATCACAGGCCCAAGCGGTAGTCAAAAGAAACGTAAAATCGGCGCATCATGCGTTTACTGGGCTTCTAGGTTGTAACCTATGAACGCATGATGCGTTCCTTGGGACTTTAAGAGTTAAAGATGTCTTGAAAGAAATTTTGTTGTCTCCATTCCTCACTGTCTGCATCTTTGATGGGTTCAAAGATTAGTCGTAAGACTTTTTCGAAAATTTGTCATTAGGTTTCATCTCTAATTTTTTATTGTTACCTGTACAAATGTGACAGTTTATATTTGAAATTCTGTTTCAGGTAATGTGTCTGATATTGTATACTACAAATCAAAGCCTTTATATATTCGAGGTGCTCTAGTATTTGATACCTTGATAGAGTACCTGATTGCAAATACCGGCCTGGGCGCTGCGGAGCAGGTGGTGCTAGCAGGATCTTCAGGTTTGTGTTTTGCTTTTTCAAATATTTACTTGACATAGTAAGTTTCTTAACGTCAGCAAAGAACGGTGAGACTGCACCTTCCTAGTCATGTTATAAGAGGAAGCTAAGGGTAGGATTGGAGCTAATTTTTTTTCAAGTGAAAAAATCAGTGGCTACTCGGTTAGTAAGTCAGTTAATTAATAAGATACTTAACCACTCAGCTATTGACTAAAACAGTCATTTAATAAGTCAGTCAGTCATTCTTCTTCTGCCTCCCCCCCTCTTTTTTCAGTGAAGCATAGGCCTTTAACCAGTTCACACAATGTCACCTTAGCATTTCCTGCAAATACAACTCAGCCCATGTCCTGCCCATCTTTTAACTTCACCGTCTAGTTCCTTTCTTTCTACGTGTTTTTTTTTAAATGAATCTATCTTTATTCCTTTGACCTAGTGTGATCCAGGACTGAGACATTCTAGTTATGTTTATTATCAGGTTTTAGCTTATGTCCTCTCCAAGATCCGCAGCCTTTCCTCACCTCTTGGTTCACTGGCATTTAAATTCTTTTGCAAAGCTCAGTGTTTGTGATTCTGTCATACCATTTAATTCAAACTGTTTTTCTTCTTCTTCTTCTGCGTTCGACATCAGTCGTGCTAAACATTGAGTCCCGTCTAGGTCACAAATAAGATTGTGCGTTTAAGGTCGCCACCGGTCCCCCATAGCTTCTCTTGCAATGTGGCTCCCTTGGGCCAGATCCACAGTCTTTGCTGGGAGAGGTAAGGGCAGTACTGTAGTATGTGCTCAGGAGTCTGTCTTTCTGCTCCACAATCACAGGCAGCAGATTCTTTTATGCCTATCCTGTACAGGTGTGCTCGAAGACCACAGTGTCCTGTCCGAAGTCTAAAAATTGATGTTTGTTCTTTCCTGTTGAGTTTGTTTATGCTGTCACTCTCTGGTCTATAATCTCCGTTTTGCCTTCTGCACTCCCGCTTGAAAGACTGCTTTAGCGCTGTTTTGGTTTCCTTGTAGCTGTGTGGTGGATGAGGTTGTGGAAGATTGCCAACTCATCTGCTCTTTCATTTCCTTGAATACAACAGTAGGCTGGTATCCACTGCAAGACCAGTTCTGCTTCCTTGGAGAGTAAGCCAATGTTGGTCCTTAGATCTGCAATTAGTTTGTCTTGTTTTTTGCTTGATAGTGCTTGGAGAACAGACAATGAGTCACTAAAGTATAACAATTTGGTGCCCTCTGTGTTCTTGAGTGATGAGATGTTGGACTACAGAAAGAAGGGCAGTTACCTCAGCTCTGAAGTTAGTGCAGATGTCACCTGCTGGTAGAGAGAGAGTTTCTGCTCTACCGCTAGGGGGTTTAATGTATATTCCACAGCCTCCCTTTCTGACTGCATCTGTAGCAGAGCCGTCGGTGAAAACCTGGGTCCAAGTGGTGTTGAGATACTTCTCATCAAGCATAGCAAGAGCCAGGGTTCTCTGTTGTGTCTCCGTCTGGGCATCTTTTGAAGTGATCCCTGGTACCTTTAGGACTACATTTGCCTTCTCTGGCTTGCTTGTCCATGGTTCTGGCCTAAGTTTTTCGCACAGTGCGACATCTCTTTCAAGCAGATCTTGGTGCTGTCTGCACAGTTCTTTAGCAAGGTGGTTGGGGCTCTGACGCTTCAGTCTGTTTTTTGTTGTTCTCTCTTGAAATTTAAAATGCAGTGGGTGACTTTAAAGTCTTTTTAATTTCTCATACTGTAAAAGAGTTTTGTATTGTCTTCTGAGTTCGAGTGGCTCAGTATCTGCTATCCTCTCTATCTCTCTGATGGGGGTGGTTTTCATGGCTCCTAGAACAATCTTTAATCCGATATTCTGAACCTTGTCCAGTTTTCCCATTGTTACTGTTTTTCTGAATGTTTCAATTCCATGCAACAGTACTGGCTTGACGTTAGATCTGAATATTTTAAGTTTGGTACTAGTTTGTTAGCTAGCCATTTAGTCATTCACACATTAGCCGATGAGTAAGCTCGTTGGTTAGCTCGTAAGTCAACAACTCAGCCACGTAACCAGTCAGTAGGTCACTTTTTAAGTCAGTTAATCTGTCAGCAAGTCAGTCATTAAGCCGTCAGATCAATCAGTCAGTAAAAGTTATCTGTCTGTCCACAGCTGGTGGTACTGCAGCTCTCATCCACGCAGACAGACTCCGCAGCAGACTTCCACTGTCTGTGAAGACTCTACATGTACTAGTCGATGGAGCCATGTTTGTAGATGTGCCTAGCATCACTGGCAAGCGTTTGATGGCTACAACTTTTCAGGCCGTTTATAAATTACATTCTTTAAATTGTGAGTAATTTTTAAAATTTTTCTCATATTAACTTCATGTTTTTGTTTTGATAGCCTGGAAAACAGATGTGCACACAAAATTTTTGACCAAAGTCTAGAAGTGGATGACAACCAGAACTTTCCGCTAGAAGAAGAAGAAGAGCTTTGATAGTGGTGAAGAAAAGTATTCCAAGCAATGTATCTTTGATGAGGACATATTAAATAATTTTAAGAATATGAATAATGTGGACCCAAACAATACATTTCACAATTTATTGCTAGGCGTATTTTGCTGTATCTCGTCGGGTGCGTAACTACAGAGCTGCATCAACATAAAATGAAGCACAAAACTGAATAAATCCAACTGAAATGCGAATAGCTTCTTTCGATGCATCATGGTTTGTATAGTCACCGGCACTCGCCGAAAGTTCACCGTAGTCACGTGACTTACCAGGGTAACTTCAAATTTACTATAAATTCCATCTGATAACAATTTTATGAATAGTTGTACAACATATGCTAACATCAAATGATCTGTCTTGTAACACCAAGGTCACAGTACATAAAACAGTGATAAGGTTCTGAAACCTGGAATTCAACCAAAAATGAGGATGACATTTTGACATTTTTTATGACATTTTGAGAACAGTCTCCTGGTGAATCTTTGGACTCATCAAAGATGATAAGCCGGGAATAGAGAGTGAAGAACAACAAGAAAATTCATAATATGTTAAAGTCACCTTTAACTACTGGCATCATGGGAGCTAAGCTTTAATCCACTGAACGAACTGTGACTAAGAAGCTAAGCTAAACAATGGGGGGGGGGGGGGGGGGGTAGCAACATGTACATACAAGACAAAAAGCCATTTTGGCTGGAGCTGATTATCCAAATCACCACTCCCGGGGCTAATAAACTGCAGTGCTTGCGGCATATAGCGAAAATGACAGATATGAGAGAGGTCAGAACTTAATATAGCGAAGAGATGAATGTAAATAGATCATGAGAGACCAAGATGGTAGAGAGATAAAATACAGGCAGACTTACAAATATTTGGAGTCATCAAATGGAAAGAGAAGGCCAGTCAAAAAGATAAATGAATTGGGTGATATCTGCCACAAAGAACTCAAGGGCTCAGAAGGCTAAAGAATGACCTGTTAAATTGTTTACATTTTTGTTCTCATTTATTCATTTGCCTGGTCTAAGATAGAAGAAGACCAAATATGAAATGAATATTTGATAAAAACTATTTTCATATAATTGATACACTGGGTTCATGGTGCTAGACTAAATTTTATAGACCTATCTATTGACAGTTGATGATGTGGTCAACATTAAGCCCACCTTCTTTACTTCCCAAGACCTTTCCAGGTATCCATTTTAGGCTTCATCTACGTGGGAGCCTTAAGTCACTTATAAAAATCTGCCTTTGTAACAATTTTATCTGTGACCTTTGGCCCAGCAGACAGATGTGAATAATTGTTTATCTTCTTCACATTCGCCAGCTGTAAACTCCAGCAGAAAGTTCTAGTTATTCATCCACCTTGGACTTGGTCTTATTCCTGAACCTGACTTCTGCATGCACATCCGTTTTACAGATATGGCTTATTTGTATGCACACTATTGGTTCCTTGCCTTTTATTAGGCAGATGCACTCTCACTTTGAAGGAAACATCCCTGATTAGTCGACTATTATTACATGCTTGTTAGGAGCAGTGGGTGTAATCTTGTTTCCCAATGTCAGAAACCTTATTCCTGCCATGCAGGCATGTGGCTCCTTGGTAGTTTACTGACAATCTATCCCTAGAACACACTAAGCCAAACACTTACAGAGCACACACAATCAATCTTAAATGTACAGAACAATAAACAGTAGGTAGTCAACCCAAGAAACGATGGTTTCCCCCACAGTGGGGCCTTTGGAACCCACATGGGGAATAATTTTGTATAATTGGAACTGTTGGAAAGCTGGGCTCTCAAGCAGGAGACCCAGGTTTGAATCCTCGGTAATGCTGAGAATTTTTTATGTCAGGGGCTGAATACAATCCTCACCTGCACAGTTGGTGGCGACAGCACTAGCCATGCAGCCGTAAATCATCAGGCTCAAAGACCCCCCTGCCTACACCGCAGAAGTGGTAGTAAAGGCAGTCATTGGCAGTTTATATATATATATATATCTTTCACCTAGAGTAGATTGGTGGAAATAGGAATAGACCCACCGCCCTCCAACAAACATTTCATAAAAGTTTATTAATTAGGGGTTTGCTGAAATCAGATGTGTGTTGGGCTGAAAGGTTGCAAATATCACAGCCTATTACCCTTTTAAGGTTGAACACAGGAAGAAGAAATAAGTAATTCCAGGAAGGCTAACACTGCCAACAAATGCATGAAGTCGGATGTGTCGGCCTAATTGCACAAAGATTGTTTCTATGCTATAAACAAACAGAATACAGTTGTGTCATCAGATATCGCTCTTGCAGATTCTCTAATCTAAGGTAGAAGAGGATAAACTATACAATTAAATGAGTAATTGTTGGACTAGAGCGGTTACAATGCCAGTGACGAGGGTTTGATTTCTCTGTAGGTAATATCTTCTTCTTCTTCTTTGCGTTCACCGGCTGTAAATTCCGGTGGAAAGTTCTGGTTGTTCATCCACTTCTGGACTGCAGTCCTCCTATTCCAGAACCTGAGTGTTGCGTGTGCATCTGTTTGACAGATCTGACTAATTTGTATGCAGACAGCTGGTTCCTTGCTTCTCAGGCAGATGCACTCCGACTTCGAAGGAAGCTCCCAATTAGTCAACTCTTACAACATGCTTTTGGGTAGGCAGTGGGTCTATTCTTTTTTCCTCCTATAATAGGGCCCTGGAACCAACACGGGGATATAATATGTTTTTTACTATGCGAGGGAAAAACTAACCTGTGCAGTTTGTGGTGACTGCACTAGCCATGCGTCCATAAATTCTCGGGCTCAGGAGGTCCACCAATCCCTGTTCTGCACTGCCTTGAAAAAAAGCAGTAAAGCGTTTTGTTTTTAAAATTTACACTGTTTGAACTAAAAGCTTGACATTTGATTTATATTTGTTCTTACCAATACTGGTTTAATTTTCTTACTCTTCAGCTTCTGCAAGTATTCGAGAATGCACACAAACACGAAAAGTCGGGGATGAGTGGAAATGTTTGTTTCCCGAAGTCTATCATCCATTTGTGTTCACACCATTGTTCTTTGCTAATTCAGTTTATGACAGTTGGCAGCGGGAATATGAACTGGGTATTGCCTGTTTGGCTGTATCTTGTCCAAGTGAACATGTCCGGGATGTGCATAACCTGAAAGATGTTGTTTTAGGTCTGGCACAAAACATCACTCGTTCCAAAAAGAATGGTTTATTTTTGACGGTGTGTCCATTTCATGTCTTGCTTGTGAAACCGTGGTTTTCAGAACCTGTTGTAGGTACGCCAACACTTCAGAGTTCTGTGGCTGCCTGGCTGCAGCATGATAAACAGCAGTCTCTGGTTAAGTCTCTGCCAGATTTAGAGTCAGCATTGGAAGTTTGCCAACGATTTCTTAACTAAAGCTAACAGTTATGAGAATTAAGTGTGGTTTGTTTAGTTGAACCACAGTAAGCAAGTTTAATTTTTTTTTTCTATAAATGAAATACTCATTTGTATATTTACTTTTTTGGGGAGTCCAGTTGACATGTAATATTATCTGATATTAAAAGATATTTTGGGAAATATTTGTTTAATAAATAATGTCAGTTTTTGTGTGTGTTTTTTTATATGGAAAATAAAATTTTGGTTTTGTAGTTTGTCGTATCAGTTTGTATGATGTTTACAAACATTTTTGTCTTTCAATTGTTTAAAATAAGAAAAGCATTTCCAATTCTGTCTCTTATTTATTACTTGAGTTTTTCTGCGGTCCATTTATATATGGTTTATCTCTGGATCTGTTACAGCTGTATCTGAATGACATTGCTGTCTGTGGTCCCCTGTCTGATGTCAATCTTGACTGTTGCACACGAGTAATGTCAAGTACACATGGTGTATTGCTTGAGACCAAAAGAGTTAAGTGTGTATAGTTTGCACCACAAGCAAGCTAAACTGTCTACGTTTAATCCGTGTTTGATTCAATTGTTTTTCACTTGTTCAGAGCCAAGCAGTTGTCTGTTGGTAACTACTCTAGTCTAAACATTTGGTTTTATCTGTGCACATCTTTCCCTTTTCCTTCCATTAAACTTTCTAGTTGTTGTCGTCGGTTTGCAAAGTCATGAAGTGAACAAGCAAGACATTTTTTAGTCTGTTAACGTACCTGCTGCTGCATACAGTGTTATCTCCTCTAGACCTGCACTTTGTTACTTGAAAACAAGCTTAGATAGTATTTGTTTAAATCAAAACAATTTAGTATGGGAATATAATGTTTGGTATTGACACATGTCAAACTGGTTCGTTTGAAGTTTAAGCAATACAGACTGAGAACTGAACTATGTAATTATTCTTACAGCTCTGTTACCAGCTATCCATCTCAAGTCACTATAGTAATATCTTCTCTATTTGACCTGAAGGGGTGTGGTGGTTTACAGCTAGGCATCTGCACCTTTTGGCCTAACATATCCTAATTCAGCAAACCCCTAATCAGGCGACTTTTTTACAACAATCATTTTCGGGGAGGAAGAACCAGTAGGTCTCCCCACCCTACAAAATGAGCCTCATGGAAGCCACACAGGGAACTGATTTGATTTGATTCAAGAACCAACATCACAGCACTCGGGGCATTCCCATAAGCGCTTCATCCCCATCTTCAGCAGCCAGCAAAGAGTTCCGATACTAATGGTGCCAGTAGCATTCTGATTAAACGTCCATCTTGCCTTTCCTCTGAGCCTCGAGCATCTGCCAGAAACCTCTCGTCACTCTCCGCTGGATCAATCTCACCAGACTATGGTGATCCATCTGCTCCTCCGAACTGTACACACTCTCTCCCACAAGGCACTAACCACGTCTGCCTTATCATGTAGCAGTATTCCACCAAGTTGTGCAGAGCCAGCCAGTCTGTCCCCCTGTTCATTTCCAACACACCGGTGTGACCCGGTGAAAAAATCCAGACAATATTCCTCACCCGAGCCCTCTGCAGCGAGGCATGCTCCTCTGCACGAAGCATACCTGTTCTGATCTTCCTCAGCATGCTTTCTGAATCAGTTACACAGGGAACTATAGCAATATAATCATTATCATTCTGTCATGCCATTATTTGTCACTTAGGGCTCACAGTCTAGTCCTCCTGTGTAATATAATAAACTGCTTTCAATGAAACCGCTGTTAAATCTGCTGTTATCTGTCACAGCTAATTAGTTATGATCCCTCCATGTGTGCCTTTAAAATAACACAGTGCACATATAATTAACAGTTCAGTTCTTCTCTCTTACTAGCACATATAATTAACAGTTCAGTTTTTCTCTCTTACTAGCACATATAATTAACAGTTCAGTTCTTCTCTCTTACTAGCACATATAATTAACAGTTCAGTTCTTCTCTCTTACTAGCACATATAATTAACAGTTCATTTTTTCTCTCTTACTAGCACATATAATTAACAGTTCACTTCTTCTCTCTTACTAGCACATATAATTTACAGTTCAGTTCTTCTCTCTTACTTGCCTCATGAACTTTCACACTATAGGAGTCACTTATATCCTGTACCCATCTTCGTGTCGGTCGGCCCCTGCCCCTCCTTCCTGGTACCATGCCTTCTGCTATAATTTTTTCCAATCCGTCGTGGCACTTGTTATGACCAAAATATTTCAGCTTTCGAAAAAGGATGATGTTTATTAGCCAATCTTCCTTGATGTTCAGATCTTTTAAGATGTCAATATTTCTCATCTTCTTTCTCCAAGATATTCTGAGAATCTTTCTATAGCATTTGAGCTCAAAAGCCCCTATTCTCTTTCTTAAGGACTGAGAGATAGTCCACGACTCACATCCGTATGTAGCCACAGGGAAGATGCATGCTCTCAAAATTCTAATTTTTATCTCCTTGCTGGTGCTTAACCATAGACTTCTAAGGCTGTTCAAGCTTTGCATTGCTATGGCCATCCTCCTTTTAATTTCTGTTGAACAGTCTCCATTGTTGTTTATTATAGAGCCTAGATATTCAAAGTTTGTGACATTTTCAATTTCTTCATCATTTATTGTTATTTTTGGGTGACAGCCAGTTTTATCTGTGGATATTGTTTTCATTTTCTTTAAATTCAAGAACAGATTTTGATCTTCTCTGTGCTTTTGGACGGACAATATTAAATTTTCTATTCCCTTTACGTTGTTTTCAATTTCTTCATCATTTATTGTTATTTTTGGGTGACAGCCAGTTTTATCTGTGGACATTGTTTTCATTTTCTTTAAATTCAAGAACAGATTTTGATCTTCACTGTGCTTTTGGACGGACAATATTAAATTTTCTATTCCCTTTACGTTGTTCGAAAGGAGGACTGTGTCATCTGAGTAGTGGACTTCCGGAATAGGGTTGCCACCAATTTTGAGCGGATCATAACCGTCACAAGTCTGGTCATTTTTGACATTTCTCATTATATTTTCTGCGTATATATTGAATTCTCTCTCTTACTAGCACATATAATTACCAGTTCAGTTCTGCTCTCTTACTTGCTTCAAACGATTCTTTGTCGCATTTTTATTCCTCATGCTGAGCAGCAGCTGCAAATAAGCAACATTTTCATTGGACAACCAAAGCCACTGGGGTACTCCCGCTTGGCTGCGCACCCTAGGCTAGCCCATAGGTGAATAAAGTGCGTTATTTTTCCATGACCAACCTTAGGCAGACACAAAATGGCTGTCACATGTGTTTCATATGTGTTTGATTTTATTTTTGTCATCAATGAAAAACAATAAGTTATTTTTACCTTCTTTTAAATGTGAGTGATGTTTTCTCTTTGAATTTATGTTCAATATGTTGTGTTTTGGTGGAGCAGCATCTTAAAGGTAAGAAGGAAAAAAATGCTAAATTGTATGTCTTATGATCTCTTCGTTTGCTAGTATAGTATACCTTATAATAAATCTGATGTTAACAATTTATAATGTAAATATTAATTTTCAGAATGGGCTGCCATTCCCAAAATAGTGTGAATATACTGGGTTGACAAGAAGAATATTGATCTGTCTCTTTTGCCACAGATCTTTCTGACAGTTTGCTAAAACCAGATGTGTTGGGCTGAAAGATGCACCTGTTTCTACATTTTGTAAAGTACTGAAGACAAAACACAAGAATAAGACATCTGTTTTTAATCTCGTATCTTGTGTTAGAATCTCATAGTTATTTTTTTTTTGTCTCATTGGCTGTTTGTGAAATATCATTCATATCTGTGCCTTCACATCTACGCAGTATTCATTCACCTTGACAGGAAATATAGGTTGTTGATAAAACATTTGTGTTTTCTTGATATAAATATGTGCTCGAATGAATGAACAATGACATCACTGCACTTGGGACATTATAACATACTCTCCTACTTCTTTCTTCAGTATCAATAAAGAATCAACATACTAATAGTACCATTTGCAACCTGATTAAAAAGCCCACATGTTTTCCCTTCAGAGTTGAATATCTTCTAGAACTTTTGCTCACCCTCCCTCCCTCCTAAATTGAATTAGTCTTTAATGTATGGATTATTCTATTCTATTCTGTTCTATTGCATTGTCCATTCGATCCCAGACAGCCTTCACCACGTCAGCTTTATCGTCAAGTATCCCACCGCCCAGAGGAGTGGAAGCAGCTAATCTATCAGCGCGCTCATTACCTCGCACAACTGAACATCCTGTTGTGCTTTTTACGTCACATAGGTTTAACAGTCTTATCCTCCACTTCGCTCCTTCCTGTGCAGTCCTTTCCAAAATTCCTATGTCTGAGACATTATCTTCTTCTTCGGCATTCCAAGCCCTCGATTATTGCTGCAGATATCACCCGCCTCCAGTCATCTCTCCGGTTGGCCTTCTCTTTCCAGTTGGTGACACCAAATTTTTGCAGGTCTGTCTAGACATTATTTCTCCGTCTTCTTGATCTACGATCATTCATCTCCCTTGTGTATCCAGTTTTTACTTCTCTGTCATCTGACATTCTTTCAATATGCCCTAACCATTTCAGTGAGACATTACCCTAGAAGAAAATAATTTCCAAAATTCAGGTCGGACATTAACCTGAAAGAAAAGACTTGAAACATCCATATCAGTAATGGCCAATACTGTCTGCATTTACTACTACTGCAGTGTGTGTGTGTGTGTGTGTGGGGAAAGTAATGTGTGAGAGAAGTATTTGAGCCTGAGGATTTAGAACCTCATGGCTGTCACTACAACTTGTGCAGGTTAGGATTTTATTTTCCCCCTGACAGAAAAAATCCACAACCTACCTAGGATTTGAACCTGTCTCTCTCGCTTCAGAACCCAGCATTCTTAACCGTTTGGTTCAGAGATGCAGACCTGAAACTTACTGAGATATTTTATATGGTGGTAGGAAATCTGACTTTGAAACAGTTCATTCCATGTGAATTCCAGGGTCCCATTGTAGGAAAAAG